CTTATCCAAGGGCTTGTGGTTCAGCTGAGGGCCGGGCCTGGGGAAGCTTTTGTGTCCCCGCGTGTCCTCCGAGAGCCGAGCAGGGGAAGGTGCCGTGGTGTCCCCAGCAGGATGCTTTGGGGTCTGCCATGAAACTAAGAAGCCAAACCAAGGAACTGCCTTCTCCTGTCCTTCACTGGACACATGTAAACCATGCTAGGAGTCATCACAGCAGGTCTATGAAGATTTCAAAGGTGAGCAGGGGAAACCAGAATCAGGACTGCCATTTCCGAAGCCCCTGAGGGTGTGTGTTTTTGAGGAGGCCCGTGAGGACCCTGCCCAGCAGGATGTCCTGTGCTGATGAAGCAGAGCTTCCCCTGCAGCTGTGTGTGCCCCAAGAGCTGTACAGATCGTGAAAGAAGTAACGAGGGAATCAGCCATGCAGGCAGTGTGTTTTCAGTGGGCAATTTTGGTTCTTCTTTAGCTCTGTCCTGTGATTCTGGCTCGCCCCAGAGTGGCCAGTGGAGGCCATTTGTGAATGTAACTCAGAAGCAGAGAGGTCCTGGGGTGAAGGAATGGCCTGTCCATGGCTCTCCAGAGAGGTCAACTCCAGTCTAGGAGCACCTGCACAAATAACTGTCAAAAACTGGGAGAGTATGTTAGAAGGATCACTCTGGACATGCCTTGTATTTTTTCCTCAGGCAATGGGTGCTGCCATGGTCACAGAAAGGATTCTGGCTTAACTAGACCTTTAATTAGAGGTGGTTGTGTGATTTTTGCACTACTGAGCCTCCTGGAACACGAGCAGGTGAATTAGCCTGTGTGTATGGAGCATTAGGAATGTTCAACAAGGCAACATTTTAATGTATGTTCATGTTTTCTCGTCTGTGGAGAAGAATAATTGCTGTACCCTGCAAGGATTTGGGTATTTCACAGTGCTGACATTAAAGCTGAAGACATTAACTCTGAATGACCTTGCTTTGCTCGTGACTCACACCACAGGTTATTTTCCTGTAGGTTTGTTCTGAGTGATTAAGGTAGGTTTGCTTGAATATAAATGCTGTTCTACACATATATATATATTTATATATATATATTTACCTTCATCAAAGAAGGCTCCCACACTGTCCCTTGTTTATCCATATTATGCATAACATTAGACTCAAATGTCACAGCCCTTATTTATAAGGTAAGGTGAGAATATAACCCAATTTAAAACTCCACTTTTTCACTGCTGCCCATCTCATCCTTCAGTGTGGCTGCCACTCAGGGAACACGGAGCAAGTGGAGTTGAGGAAGTAAATCCGTGTTTGCTGTGAACTCCAGAGATTGTCCACCTGCTTCTCTCGGTCAGTGCCGCTGCAAAATTCCCTTCCACACACGGGTAATGACCAGGTAGGGAATTATACTTAATATTTGAGTCAGTGAAGGAGAGATGGGGGCAGCACATCAGAAGCTGGTTCTCAACCACTCCCTGATTTTCAAACTAGCCACAACTGCATGTTCAGGCAGCCTGGGAGCTGTTTCAGCAGGCACCAGGCTCCCCTAGGAACTGGGAACAGCTCTGGCCACGCTCCCTCCATCCTGCCAGTCCCAGCACGTCCCTGCACCGGGGATGTCGGGGAGGGAGGTTTGTGTCTGCCCCAAAATCCCTCGCTCCCTTCTCACTGCTTGAAGGGTATAAAGGGAACGTGGAAGCTGTTCCTCAGTCTCTGAAGCTGTTAAAAATATTTTTAATGAAGGTACAAATGAGCTCCAGCGAACACCTCCTTGTTTCTCATGCTAATTTTATATTGTTCCTGAAGCAGAGCCCAATTTTTTTCTCTTTGTGAAAGTAAAATTGAAATTCTGCTCGTATTCATTAATCCTATTAAGAAACAAGGTATATGCAGATGTTATTTTTTAGTAATTTTAAGGTGTAAGTGTATTAGTAAAAGGTTAGAAAAACAGCTGTAAAGGGGTTTGGTTTTTTTTTGCTTGAAGTATATGGTTTTCTCACATTATTGTAGACTATATATAACTTTATTTTTCAGCAAGAGTAAACTGTGATAAGTCCCTGAACCCTTACTATGCCACAAACAAGCAAAGATAATGATTTTCAAAAAGGAAAGAACGAATTGTGCCACAAATAATGACAAAAAAGAAGCATAAACTTCTCCTGCCTAGTGGTGGCTTCCAGGGCATCAGACATTTTGTAAACCAGCAAATGGATCCAGACCACGCAGAACTGGGACGGTCCTGCTTTTCCTCTCTGTTAATTTTTCCACTATGAGAGTGTCCAAAACTCTCTGAAAGAAAGGATTACTGTCTGGGGGTTCAGAAAGTCCTATTTTCACAGAACAGTTCATTCTTGCAGGTAACCCAGCAGGCACACAAGCTGCTCCCTGAAATGTCACGGCCTTAAGCATTTACCCCACATCCCGAGCCCAGGTGTTTGTTTTCAGGAGTGTTTTCGGTGCTGCTGCAGCCCAGAGTTTACATCAGTGGTTTAGCTGCCTCATTTATGAGACTGCAGGCAAGTGAGACCCAGTTTGGTTTAGGGTTTAGCAAATTACATTCACCCTTTTGCCACTAAATCACTGTACAAACCACTCAGCTCTTCCCCTCCTTCCCCTTATTCAAATTTACCCCGTCAATCACTTGTGATATGAGTGTGAGGAGTGGAGATCAGCCTGTCAATATGTACAGAACATTCTGGAAGCCCAGCATGGATTCTGAGTGTGGCAATGAGATTTGAGCATTACAGATGAAAAAAGCATGGAACGGTCCCTGTGATTTTCCATCCAGGAAAGGTGTTGGTCTTCAACAGAAATCTTCTCTGAGATCACCCTGAGGTCTGAGGCAGGTCCTTCAGGCCTGGTCTTCTTCTGGGCCTCTTTTAGTTGCAAAATTTGCTGGGCCAAGAAGAATTAAGAAAATAGAAAAAGATTTTTTAACTTCACCGCATTTGAAAATGTAATAAGTACATATTTCTACATTTAAAAAATGTATTTAACTTCCCTGTCTGTGTTTCAGATCTTCAAGATATTCTCTAAAGCTGTGAAAAACCATTTTTAAATATGGGTTCAGATTCTTAAATGATCACAAACTCAGCCTTTTCAGGAAAACTCAAAATATGCAGCAAGTCAACAGCACTAGAAAGTCAGTAATTCAAGGCACCCGGCTTTAAGTGTAAATTGTGTCAGCTTTTTTTTTGCATTGTTGTAGAGGTATTGAGGAACTATTTCCTCAAACAATGTTGGGATCATCTACAGGGGTTCCACATCTTTGTGCTTCAGGCATCTCAACCGAGGCAGCCAAAAACTGGGTCAGGGCAGCGGTCCAAAATTTTAGTGGTGAGCCTCCAAAATTCAAGACACTCAGGGAATGCATGTTGGAGAATAATACGAGAATGCTGGAGAGAAAAAAAATAAATAAATAAAGAGAAGGGTGTATTTCAGTTGTATCCACTTTATTGATATTTCAAAAACTGGTACTGTCAATTTGGAATAAAACAGGCTGTTTGGTTGAAAACCCTGTGAGAGCCAAGCCAGTTGCCTCAGAGCCTCAGACACTGATCCAATAGTTCCTAGCTTGCCACAAGGCAATCTGTACAGCTGGCTGCTCCCAATCCACAGGCCCTGGAAGCTTTTGGATCCCAGCTTTCGAGGAGTCTCCCCACTGGGTTGCAGTGGAACCTGGAATATGGGAACGTGGGTTGGCAGGAACCTGCACTCCCTTCTGATAGGATGGAGAAAATTGGGAAGCATATCTCAGCTTGGAAGCTCAGAATTCGGGAGCCGGGTCCCAACAAAACTTTTGTGGCGTTGTTCCTGGGCAGCAGTTGCGAGGAGCTGAGAAGCAGCTGGATTTGAGAAACAGGAATCAGCCTTGCCAGAAGCACCTGGGGACTCTGCAGGTGGCCCTCAGCCTCATTGCTGCTTGTTCAGCACCATTTTGGGGTGGTTTATCAGAGAACTGGTGCCCTGAGGAGCTAAGGTTTGTATTTATATGTTTTTTAAGACCTGGGCTCCTTTTTAGCATGGAGGGGGTGATGCTTGAGACGGGGGGAGTGTGACAGCCCCGTCTGCCCAGAGATGGAAAGTTAGAAACTGGAAATGTACCTGGATGCCACCCTGAGTCAGCCCAAACCAGAGGCACCTCTACCAAACACCTAGATCTGAACAAACTGCCGTGCTCTGACAAAAATATTCCGTCTGAGAATTTCTGACCGGCTCTGGCGGTAAACATCTCCAGGGTGTCATTTGTGCCTGATACAGGGCAGAAATTATTCGGGTATCTGGTACCCGGCGTGGAAAGATGAGGGAATGGAATAGTAAATTAAAGGGGCTGAAACAAAAAGCTGCTGATTGTCTGAGCGCCTCCGGCCAGGCGGCGTGCAGGTATCTGTGTGGGAACACACTTTTCCACGGAGGAATCAGCCGTGGCAGGGGCTGCACCCACCCCACCCTGTCAGTGAGCGTCCACCGGCGGGGCCGCACGTTAATTTTTGCTGCTTCCCCCCCCCATCGGTTGGGATTTTTTCCGGGCAGCGCTCCTTGTCCTGCTCCGGGGCTTTCCTGGCCGTGCCGACCCTCCCTGCGAGACCCGCGGGCCGCGAACCCCCTCGGGGAGCGGGGCCCCCGCGGGGATGGAGCGGAGCGCAGCGGAGTTCCCGGCGGGCCGGCCGCCTCCGCGCCCTCCCTCCCTCCTCCTCCTCCCATCTCTCCCTCCCTCCCTCTCTCTCTCCCTCCCTCCCTCCCTCGGCGGCGCGTTTGGGAGGGAAGGAGGGGGTGGAAGCCGGGCCGGGGCGGCCAGCAGGCAATTTGCATGAGAGACAGACTGGGAATGAGCTGGAGTGGGCGCCTCTCCGCGCACACAGAGCGGGGCAGGAGGGGGAGGAGGAGGGAGCAGCCGCCGCCGCCGCCGCCGGGGAGAGGCGGCGAACTCCGGGCAAAGTTTGGAGCCGCGGGCCCGCGGCGCTGAGGGGGCGGCGGGGCGGGCGAGCTCCGCGCCGGGCCGGGCCGGGCCGGGCAGGGCCAGCGCCGCCCGGGGCCGGGCTGAGGCGGGAGGGAGCCGAGCGCGGGGCCGGCGGGCGCTGCCGGCGGCGCCAGCATGTCCTCCATCCTGCCCTTCACCCCTCCCATCGTCAAGCGGCTCCTGGGCTGGAAGAAAGGCGAGCAGAACGGGCAGGAGGAGAAATGGTGCGAGAAGGCGGTGAAGAGCCTGGTGAAGAAGCTGAAGAAGACGGGGCAGCTGGACGAGCTGGAGAAGGCGATCACCACGCAGAACATCAACACCAAGTGCATCACCATCCCCAGGTACCGAACAGGGCAGCCCCGGCCCGGGGGGTCCCCGCGGTGCCGGTCCCGGCGCAGCCCCGAGGGACCCTGGTGCTCCGGCACGGCCCGGCAAGGGTGGTTTTGCTTCCCAGCCCCGCGGCTTCGTGCCCTGTTAGCCCTTCCCTGCCTGCCCGACACACAGCTAACCCCCCAAAAAATAAAACAACTGGCTACAGAATTGAATTACTGTCTAGTAACAAGAGAGGGGAGAAGCTGTCTGCAGCCGAGATGGAAAAGTTGGGAGCGCAGTGTGTGATACGCTCACCGCGGGCACTCTCATTGTCAAAACTTTCAGCGTGTTCTCAAGTGCTGGTGCATTAAGATTGTTTTTGGTGGTGGTGGTGATTGCTGTGTCAGGAAAGCGGTTTTGTTTGGGCTGCGTGGCTTCTTTCGTGTTATCGAGCCAGATTCTCCTCTGAAGGGGTGATTTAGAGCCCTGCTCTGCTTATGTTTTCAAATTACTTTTTAAGTCGGGAATGCAAATGGCAGAGCTGAAGGGGATTGTTTGGAGTGCAAAACAAAAAAAAAGGAAAAGCAACCAAAAAAACACTCCACCATGTGAGGGCGAGTATAACTGATTTCCCCCCCACACTTTTTGAATTAACATAGATTTTATTTTTAGCCTCCATTCTGAGCTCGACCCACAAATCATAAAGGACGTGTATATAACTATCCCATCTAAGAATAATTTCCCAAGTAACTTTCAAATGGCTGCCCACAAGTGGTGTTTTATTGCTGCAGATTGTTGATTTCTGTGAGCTCGGCCAGATGACTGCTGGGTCTGTTCCTGATTGTTGTTGGAGAGTACTTTTTTTTTTCTTCTTTTTTTTTTTTAAACAAAGGCCAAAGTTCATCCCAAATATTTGAATGCTGCATAATTGTGTGCTTCTGCGTGAGAAGATATCTGTGTGTGTGTGTATTCATGCTTCTCTCTGGCGCAAACAAATGTATGCTTTCTTGGTTGTCAGAATGATTTAATATGCAGGAGCTGATACAAAGCAGCATCTGTTGCATGAAAAAGTGAAGCAAGCAGCTTAGAAATGTGGATGTTTGGAACTCCTCAAATTTTCTTCCAACAACTGTAGTGATTTCTTTTTTTTTTTTTTTTTTAAAAAGGAAAAATATACTCTCCTTATCTTTTTGGTGGTGAATGACTGTGGCTAAGATTTTGGCCAGTAATGCAAATGCAGCTCTCAGCCTTTGTTAGAGTTGCTCAGGCTTCGCCTACTTGAAGCAGAAATCAAAACCCGTGGAGCCCCCACACAATACGAACGTATTGAAACCTGTTTTTTAAAATTCTTGGTAAGCAGAGTGCTTTCCACGTAGATAATTCCTTGTTTAAACCACTTCCCTGAAACACTTACCATTTCAAAAGGAGAAAATTGCTTGAGCAGCCCTGCTGCTGTGACCTGGGTATTGTGTGTGTGGCTGCTGCTGACCCGTTAGGGAGCAGGGCACGAAGCCCCTTGGAACTTCTGTTACTGGGAACAAGGTGCTTTAGATAAGGGAGGATATTTTATGATTTAAAAGAAGCTTGGTTAAACGATGCTTTAATTTAAAAAAAAAAAATTAAAGGTTGAAAATAGCTAACAACTCAAACAGATATCATAAGTCATGACTATTCTCACCTGCAGAGGTTGTTCTGGCTGCTCTTGCTGAATGCCTCTCTCTCCCAGACCTTGCTCTGTGTGCAGAAATTAAAACATTTCGTGCTCATTTGTGACACGGAGCCCTGGATCCTGCAGGTCTTAAACCCTGGCGTGGGGGAAGCATCGGCGTGTCCTGGTGGGAGCTCCTTGTGCCTCGGCACAAGTTTTTAAGCACAACTTCGTGTGTGCTTGGATTGGTGTTCAGTGTGTATGTCACAGAGATGCAGAGGAGCCTGGGGAGGTTGCTCTGTGCTGAGCTGTTCATATCTGTATATCAGAGGTTGGGGAACGGTGTGGAAATGTGGAACAGCCTGTCTGGAAGTCAGAGCTGGAGCTCTGACCAGGCCTTGTGACTTCAAGAGGAGCTGTGCCTTTTCTTCTGGACTGCACTGCTTGTCCTAATGTATCTGTGAATCTGATTACTGTGTCACTTGAAATTAGTGTTTGCAAGACAATTTTAGTGTGCTTTTAGTTTGCTGTTTGTTTGCTGATTTTATTTGATAATTCCACGTGGCATTTTACTATTTACTCAAATAAGTGTGGTGGGAGGGGGGAGGGAAAGAGGGGAAAAAAACATCATTAAAGATTAGCTCATGTTGTGCATTGTCTGGTAATGCATCAGTAGACTGAATTACAGTGGAGCCATGCCAGTGATGACTCTGGTCCAGCAGGAGCAGGGTAAGTCCAAAATTAGCTGTTGTGTCCATGAGACGAGGCAAGTTTCAGATGTAAAAATGCTTGAGCTTTGCAGAAACGCTGCTCCTGGGAATAAGGGCTACCCAGCAAATTCCTGGAGTGATCAGGTGAGCGTTGTTTTAAGAAAGAACAAGAAGAAAAGACTAATTTTTGCTGTTTGGCTAAGGAATTAGAATATCAAATTTATTCTCGCTGTCATTTTTATCTCCTAGGAACTGGAAATGTACCTACTGCATACTATCCCCTGACAGATTATTAATCAATCACTAGTTTAGTTGCTTGTCTGTTTGTCCAGCATGTGTTGTTTTCCAAACACCCCATTTCTGAGATGATGTGATGGACACCCCAGGCCCCAGGTTTTCCACTGGAAGAACCTGTGGCAAACAGCAAAAGGCTGGAGAGGCCTTCAAGCATTTCAGTGTGACACTCTCCTGGCAGGAGTTTTCCTTCTTGTTTTTGCTGCTGGAGCAGGGAGTAATTTCCAAGTTGCTGGTCCCGGACCATCTGATGGTTTCTTGTGCTGCAGTTGCTGGTGCTGGGCAGGATGGCTCCTGCAGAGGACCTTCCCTCCACCCTCATCTGGGACACAGCTGCCACAGGGGCCTTTGAACCTCTCTGCTCTGAGCTGGTGGGCTTTGGTGGCAACCCAGTGAGTCGTAGCCAGCTGGGTCTGCCTGGCAACAAGATATTTTTTCATACTTTATTGGGTGATAAAGTTGAAAACGTTCATTCTTTTGCCCGTTCAGGTACATCCTTTGTAGCAGTTGCACTGATCTTGAAAGCCCAGCTTTCAGGATGGGCATTTTTATCACTTTTCCTGTGCCCTGGCAGCAAGTGTGTGTGCCAGTCTGAATTATGGTGAGCGTTTAATTCAACCTGTACTGCAGAAACCAGAACATGTGATGGGCACTCAGTAATTTCTAAAAGCTGTGCAGTGTCTATAGTCTTGCTGATGTGGGATGAGACAGTAAATGCTTTGTTTCAGGAGCTTTAGTGGTGCTACACATATTAAGGCGTAAATCTCACGATAGTTTGTAATATATTTTCATATGCATATTTTTCTTTTCAACTTATTGCTGTCTTTATTTGTTTTGGTATCGCCAGTGGTTTTAGGGGAGCCAGGATTCTTGTATGTAAGGAACAGCTTCTTTTAAGTGGTGGGTTTTTTTTTAATTTAGAAAATAGTTTGGAGGAGAGGTGGGTGTTATTTCTTGTGGAACTCATCTGATAAGGAGAGAATGTACCAATTGAAATGGAAACAGGGATTAAATTAAATGTTCCTTAAGTGATTTACATTTTGGTGGGGAAAACCAGAGATAATACACAAGGAACATAATACAGAAGGATCATAATACACAAGGATAATACATAATGATTTTAAGAACATCCTGGGTGTGAGCACAGCTTCTGTTGTGTTGGTAGCTGACCACACAGTATATCCAAGGATTACTCATGTTCTTTGCTTTGCATTGATAGCAGGAAATATGAAAACTCTGAGTATATATTAAGTGTTAGTGGCTGTCTGCAAGACCCTCAAGCAGGTTGTGATTTCAAACCATGGTGTGATTTTTGGGGTTATTGGATCTGATGATCCTTGTTGGTCCCTTCCAGCTTGGAATATTCTGTGTTTCTGTGTTCTTCTTTTGAGACTGGTGCCCATCTGGTTTCATTAATAAGCAAAGGGTATATATATATATATATATAAAAATGTCAATTTTAAACTACCTCGTTTGCAGTTAGGCCTGTCCTTGTACAGGAGGAGCTTTAATACTGCATGGACTTGTTTGGGAGTGGAGCACTGGAGATGGGCCCAGTACAGCCCCTATGAACACACCCACTCTGGCTGCCACTGTGCTGGTTTGCTCGCTATTTACTGGTAATTTGACAGCTGCAAACCCCTGTCCCCTGCCCTCTGCACTGCCCCAGCTTTATGGGCAGGTTTTACAGCCCTGGCCTAACCTTTGTGCTGCTCCAGTCCCCGCAGGAGCTGCTGTGGCTGTGGCAGTGAGAGCTCAGGGTGCCCAGCTCCACAGACCCGTTTGTAAGCAGCTTTTGTGGCCTTGGGTGGGCTTTGCAGGTCAGGGCTGAGGGTGGAAACACCGTAAGTGCCCAAAGGCCTCGGCTCAGGGGACTTTGTGCCTGCTCTGGTCCACCTCGTCCTCCTTGCATTAAAACCTCTCTTAACATGAAGAACAGCACAGCAGTGTTTATACAGAGCACTGTGGGCTAAGGGGGAAAGATTATTGTATTTGGCATTTGTTGAGATGCTTTCAAATATTCATCTCTCTGCCTTTTTTCCTTCTCCCCTTTCTCAAGAGACTAAAATAGTCAAAATAGCATCTGCAAGGACTCGTGATATTCTCATTATATTGTGTAGTAAGTGTTGGATCAGTGTGAAATAAAATGTTTAAAATGGTTGCTTAACTCTTATAGTATTAGGAAAAGACCCTGAATATTGCAGTCATTTAAATATAATGAGAAATAAATGCAAAAAATTGATGAAATAAAGAAATACACACTGTACTGGATTATCACATCAGGGATCCAATTAAAACGAGTTCTTCTAATAAATATTGGTTTAATAATGTAAACTTGTGATTGCTATATTATTACAACAAAAATAAAATTAACAAG